TGATGATGATGATGATAGTAACAACAGCAGTGGTGATGATGGTGATGGTAACAACAGCAATGGTGATGATGATGATAGTAACAACAGCAGTGGTGATGATGATGATAGTAACAACAGCAATGGTGATGATGATGATAGTAACAACAGCAGTGGTGATGATGATGATAGTAACAACAGCAGTGGTGATGATGATTGATAGTAACAACAGCAATGGTGATGATGATGATGGTAACAACAGCAGTGGTGATGATGATGATAGTAACAACAGCAGTGGTGATGATGATGATAGTAACAACAGCAATGGTGATGATGATGATAGTAACAACAGCAATGGTGATGATGATGATGATAGTAACAACAGCAGTGGTGATGATGATGATAGTAACAACAGCAGTGGTGATGATGATGATAGTAACAACAGCAGTGGTGATGATGATTGATAGTAACAACAGCAGTGATGATGATGATGATGGCAGCTATGGTTTCTCGCAGGTGTACAACGCGCGGCTGAAGGCACTGCAGGAGCTCAGCGCGGACCTGACGCTGCGAGAACGCGAGTACAACCAGCGACCGGTCGCGATCAAGTCTCTGCTCGAGGCGCTCAACTACTCGCAGACATTCCTCAACACGTCGCGCGCCATCGCGGTCGACGCACAGATATTCACCGACGTCGAACTGAACACCCTTGAGAAGATCATCAACGAGACCAAGGTGAGCGCACGCGGCGGGGTCACTGGGGTCGGGGGTCATTGCCGGGGTCGCGGCTCGAGCGGGCGCACGTGGAGAGGTCACTGGGGTCGGGGGTCATCACCGAGGTTGCGGCTCGTGTGGGCGCACGTGGCGAGGTCACTGGGGTCGGGGTCGTGGCTTGTGCGGGCGCATGTGGCGAGGTCACGGGGTCATCGCCAAGGTCGTGGTTCGTGCGGGCGCATGTGGCAAGGTCACGGGGTCGGGGGTCATTGCCGAGGTCGCGGTTCGTGCTGATGTGTTCTCTCTTTCCGCAGAGCTGGTTGAAGCAGACGAAGAAAAAGCAGGATAAACATCCGCTGCACAGCAAGCCTGTGTTGTTGGTTCAGGATTTAGCCGAGAAGTTCATGACATTAGATCGGTGAGTGGAGAGAGAGAGGGAGAGAGAGAGAGAGGGGGGGAGAGAGAGAGAGAGAAAATAAGAGAGAGAGAGAGAGGGCAGAGAAGAGAGAGCGAGAGAGAGAGAGACAGTCAGAGAGAGAGAGAGAAGGGGGAGGGGGGAGAGAGAGAGAGAGAGAAAAAAAATAAAAGCATAAACATTCATGTGTAACGTTGCTATAATATATCGTTTGTGATCTAGTAGACACTTACAACAAAGTAATGTTGATCTCAGTCGAGTTGTCCATGAGTAATGTGATATTTTGGATACGTCCATCGCATCGTTATTTTCGACGTTAGGTGAAGCTGGTGATTGTTGTTATTTCCTGCGCCCTGCTCTAGTATATTTATTAGCGCTGTGTGGCGCTGCTTGTTGTTTGTTTGTTTGTTTGTTTGTTTGTTTGTTTGAGCTCAATTTGATGTTAATCTTCACAGGGAGGTGAAATATCTGTTGAATAAAGCTATGAACCAGCCTAAAAAGAAGCCTAAGAATGACACGCTGACAGGTAAAACACAATTAAAACATGTTTCACTATTCATCCATGGTCAAATTTGAGACATTTGTTTCTCTGGTACCATGCCTTACAAATTGTTTACAAAAATTTTCAGCTGTATTTAAATGTCACTGGTATATTTCCACCACCTATGTTGAATCTTTATTTAGTAGATACTAATAAAGATACAGTGTGCGGTGCTCCCTTTTAGATAAATGAGCTGTGTGTAGTAAAGCTTAGCTGAACAGGCAAGGTAATTTGGTTTATATAAACTAGTTACAGTATTATGCGCATCTTGTTTACAGTTGTATATAAACGAATATATTTTCTTTAGTATGTATAGTGTTCGTGTTGCATTATACCATTGAAATCCTTTTTAACAAGTTGGTGATGAATTTTAGAAGTTTAGTGAGAACTTTATCAGTGCTCATCCTTCTCAAAGACTTGATCAGTTGTGTAGTTAGTAAATTTATTATGATATATTGTTACAATAATGTATCATTATATTATAAATGTATTGTTTACCGTGGCCTATATTTTAGATGATATCAAGATCAAAGATAAGACAAAGTCCCCAGATTCACCATCAGCCAATGAAACAAGTGAAACAGACTTAAATAAAGACGAGACTGTACAAACAGAAGAGCAGCCAGACATGTTTGAAGAGCCTACAGATGGAGCCACTGACGGTGTAGGCGAGGAAGAGGTGCAAGAGGTGCCGCCCCCAGTCGACGTGAAAGAAGAAGAAGAAGAAGAAGCAGATAGAGGACGCAATGGAATACAGGAAAAGAGGTGTGAGGTATCAGAAGCTAGACAAGCATTAAGCGTTAGTGGCTAGGGCGTATTCGCACGAGACGCACCCGGTCATGCACTACCATGATAGTATCTACCACAGGGAATCTATTATATCGCAGTTTTCTGCACTCCACGAGAAATTATCGTGGGTCAGTCCTGGTATGCTTAAATTATTCTATCCTGTCAG